AAACAAACAAACATTCAAATCTGTTTGAAAAGTAGAATTACACTGATTAACTGTCCTATATTCTTGGAAAATTCCCATGTAGATTTAACTTGCCTCACCTGGGGTTTGAGCTAGATACAGGGAAGGACTGTGTGCATTTTGAGATGTAGAAAGGAGCGTCTAAGTCCCCATGAGAGACTAAGGGAGGTGTCTTCGAGGCACTCAAATACAGAAAATGCCAGGTCCCAAAGATGACCCCCAGGTCCTCCAGCCCCAAGGCACCTGGCTGATGTGCCACCCACCAGAAGGTCCTATAGGCCTCAGCAAATATTCACACTGCTGGCACCACTTTACCACCAGATGCTAAGTTCTCAACCCACGACTCCTCCTACCTCTCTTCTAGAAGGACACCAAGAAGGCCCCCCACTTACATTCTTGAGGAACTCCTCGGCTACGATGCGCGCACGAGCGTTGACCGACAGCTTCATCTCACTGATCTCCTTGTCAATCTCCTCCATGAAGTGGATCACGAAGTCCACCAATTTGTGTTTGTACATCTGCTCTGTGTGGAAGTTGGTGATCAGAAAACTGATGTCATATCCCTGGGGAAGGAAGACAGTAGAGAGGAGAAAGAGAAGGAACAGGAGAGAATTAGCATCCCAGGGCACTTAGTTGGCCATGTCCTCTAGGGTCACTGAGCTACATGCTTCCTACTGGCCGTCTTCTCCCAAGTCTCAAGACCTTCAGGCAGCAGCCTGCCTGCTCTGCTAGGGTGTCTATGCTGGGTCCAAGTAACTAACCCAGGTGAGAATTTTGTGTCTGTCAGGCATCTCTGGAAAACTACCTGTGATAAAACAGTTGCATTCAGTCATGGGAGAGTAAAGAACTTGAAATCTTGTTACAAAAGAATCTAATGAAACAGGGAGAAGAGATGCTGTGGGAGAAGGATGGGATTGGGTTGTGTGTGGAAGAGTAATCATTTGTTCTGGGTAGCCCCAGAGGCTAGATCTAGGACCGGGAAGAATGATTTTAGCTCAGGATGAGGATGAGCTTGGCCAACACATCTGATGGTGCATGCTGCCCTGCATAGTAGTTGCTCAGTCACTGGGAATATTTTAAGTTGATCTGGAAGGGAGTCTTTGGAGAGGACTCAAGTACAAAGTCAGACAACAACTGAGCCAATGTCAACTGTGGCCTTGAGAGAATGATTTAGTTGGTGACAAAGCTTACAAAGGATTTCTGATTCATTGTTCCCTTTCTGCCGTTAGACTGTAGGCTCTGGGAAGATAAGCAACACATACTTTTTCCTTTTCCCTGGTTGAGGCAGACCCAATTTTTCCTAATTCTGATACCCCTTATTCTCACTCCAGCTGAAATGAAGGCCAACTCTCAATTCAGGCAGTGGGTGTCCAACAGCTGGAGAAGCAGCAATCTGGTTCTACAAACAATCCCAGGCCAATGACAGTAGACTCAGTGGGAGAATCTTGGGTATTATGAACATGTGGATCACATGGTCTCACCTCCACTGGTTTCCTTCGAAGGATAAAAAAGTTCTCTGCTCGCATCATCATGAAGCGCATGAACTTGTGGCATAAAATCTTCTCGATCTCATCAGCCTAGTAAAAGATAAACAGGGCTCCCTAAATCTGACATTACAGGCCAACAGAAACCTGTAGCCTGGTCTTCTGACCTCAATTTCCCCCAGACTCGCTGCAGGTAGTGGGGTTTCACATGGGGAGCAATCACTGCATGAATCATGGGGCATATGATTGCCAACTGAATGTCTACTACATTAGAGCCTCTTCAACTCAACAGGGCATTATCATGATTTCATTTTTGCCCATTCCAGAGAGGTAATTCTGGCAAACCCAAGTCTTTTATCTGCTCCTTTGAGTCCGTACCTACATTCAAAGCTGCCTGTCCCTTTCCCATTTCACTAGTGCTGTGTTTCCCAAAGTCTATGATACGTACACCATCTGGAGTTATCAGAGAGAAACTTAGGTGGTCTCCGCTTTAACAACAATGACCATTAAATAATCCCCAAAGTTTTTCCCTGCTGAAAAATTATTTCTAGTGAAAGAATTTTGCAGCTAAGTGCTGGTATGTATGCCCTTAACACTTCCCAACACTTGTTAATCTCCCTTTTTAACAGAGCAGGGCCCAAGGATAGAGCTTTCTGTAGGAAACAGGGCCTAGTCTAAATAACAGTTTTGTTTTCTTTCACTGCAATTATTTTTTTAGAGTTCTCCCTATCTGACAAGTGATACTTTTTTCCACTATCGCATAAGGTTTCTTTTTCAAACAAATTTAAGTAAAAGAAAGTAAGTCAATTTAAGGAAATCCATTAAACAAATAACTGTCTGGGTGGTACACAAATAGGGCAAAAATTGTAAGAGTGGTGGGAATATCGGCGCGCCTGGGTGGCTCAGTCGTTAAGCGTCTGCCTTCGGCTCAGGTCATGATCCCAAGGTCCTGAGATCGAGCCC